ATAGACTGGCATGATTTTCCGGAAATGCTTTTAACGGAAAAGTTTTCTGTTAAAAGCATTTTCGGAAAAGAGCGTCTAGTTTGGCACGGATGCTTTTCCGCAAAAGCACTTTTTGCGGAAAAGTGTCCTTGGCCAATCTAGACGCGCTTTTGCACAAAAAAGCCCCGATCACCATTTTCGCAATCGGGGCTTTTTTGTGGAAAACAAATCTCAGTTGTCTACACTGGCCCTTTTGCGCAAAACTTTTGTACAAAAGGGACTTTTGCCCGAACGGGAGCAGCATAGTATTTCCGCAAAAAGCACTGATTTCTTACAGTAGGAAGTCAGTGCTTTTGTGGAAATTCAAGCGGCCAGTATAGACAGCTGGCAAGTTTTTCCGGAAAAGCGGCTGATTTTCCGGAAAAACCGGCCAGTCTAGACACAGCCTATCGGTATGTTAGAGATTATTAAGAAAGGGATAGAAAATAAGACACAAACTCCCATCGTGCCACTCTATAAATCTACAGAATGCCTGTACCTGGAATACACTGTCCAGTTTTGGGTGACATCTCCAAAAGCAGACAGTGCTACTGGAAAAGATTTAGAGAAGGGCGGGTACTTAGTACTAAAGATCTAAAGAGACTCTCAAGAACTAACTGTTTAAATAACTGTTATCAATTAACTGGAAGAAAATATTAAATCACTGCTGGTAATATGTTGAATAGTAATAGAGAGGTAGCTGTGTTAGTCTTATCTTGCTAAAACAAACGGAAAAACTATGTAGCACTTTAAAGACTAACAAGATGGTTTAATAGGTGATGAGCTTTCGTGGGCCAGACCCACTTCCTCAGGTCTGGCCCACGAAAGCTCATCACCTATTAAGCCATCTTGTTAGTCTTTAAAGTGCTACATAGCTTTTCCTTTTGCTGGTAATATGTGTGTGACAACATACAGGCAGAATGATAAATAAGGCTAAGACCAGGCAGTGATACAGAGCAATCTGGATGCCTTAGGAACCTGGATCCATGTGAACAAAGTAGGATTTCAGAGCCCAATTCAAAGTCCTACCTGAGCTCCAAAGCATGCAGGTCACTCCCCTGGAAAGGGGAACTGTATCCAGACAAGTAGTCACTCTGAGAAGGATTTAGGGGTCATACTGGGCAAGCCACTCAACAGGGGCTCCCAAGGTGATGCTGTGGTGAATACAGCTAAAGCCATCATTGCTCACATGAGCAGAGGAGGGAGTAGGGTGGGGGCTGAGGTGTGACACTGCATCAGTGAGACTGATATTGGATATTGCAGCCTGGTTTAGGGGCAACATTTTAAAAAGATGCTGAAAAATTGGGGATGGGGCAGCAAGGAGCCCAACGTTTTGAGGGCTGAAGAAAAATGCCTTCTTGTGAGCTACTGAAGAGCCCAAATTGTTTAACTTCTACAAAAGGCTGAGCAGTGACTTCATTGGAGTGTCTAAGTGCCTTCCTGGAGAGAAAATGTTAGGTATTAAAGGGCTGTTTAATGTTGCAGAAAAAAGCAAATCAAGACCAGTGGCTGAAAGGTAAAAACAGACACATTCATATTGGCAATAAGGCACAAATATTTCACAGTGAGAATGATACAACATTGGAGCAAACTACCAAAGCAAGTGACATTTCTTGATGTCTTCTAATGAAGACTAGATGCCTTTGTGGAGTGTGTTTGTATCAAAACTTAGCTATTATGATAGATAGGAGGGCTGGGATATGCAGGGATCAGATTTGATGCTTTAATGGTCGCCTTAAAGTCTACTAATAAATGAAAAACTGAATGTGGCATAGGGAGCAGCCTCTGGGGCTTTACTGTGCAGCCAGCTTGATCTCCAGACTCAGCTGCCATTAAGTGGGACAACCCAGGGGAAGCCACTCAACCATCCAAAGAGACTGGCCAGGATCAGGACACCAGCCTTACAAGACAGGGGGTGGCAGTAACATCACAAAGGCCTGTTGAAGGACCTCAGCCTATGGGGGACAGTGGTGGGGATGTGGTGACCTCACAGAGAGACCCTGACATCAGCCAGGCAGGACAAAGGTGCAAGACAGGTACAACCTCAGACACGCCTGTGGCTTTGCAGCAGAAGGCTCCGTCTCAACAGCTCTTCTTTGGAACTGAGAGAAAATTAGGATTAATTTACGTAAGCATGAGGGGGAATCTTGTTGGAGTTTTCTCCTTCCCCCACTACTGATTTTGTAGTCCCCATTTAGAAGGTAAGAATGTCAGAAAGTCTTTGAAACAAAGTGCCCACTGCTTTAAATGACGGAAAGATGAGGCACTAATGTCATAGCTCCAGGCCTCATCTAAGAAGCACCTGGGCTACGTCTAGATTGCATCCCTTTTTCGTAAAAGGGATGCAAATTAGACGTATCGCAATTGCTAATGAAGCGGGGATTTAAATCTCCCCCGCTTCATTAGCATAAAAATGGCTGCCGCTTTTTTCGGCATGGAGCTGTGCCGGAAAAAAGCGCCAGTCTAGACGTGGATCTTGCGGAAAATAAAGCCTTTTCTGAAAGATCCCTTATCCCTTATTTTAAGAGGGATA